TTGCCGGGGCCTTTTCAAGTGAGCACGGGCTAAGCAGCACACTAGTATCACATGTTTCGTGAACTTTCTTCAAATCTAAGCCTTTGCTTTATTTGAGAACTTTGGGGAGGCAACGTTAACGGGTAAAAGACATTTGGTGCTCCTTTCACCTCTTCAGCCAGGTCCTTCACATCAGGTAGCCTTGTGGTGGTTTGGATTTGAACCCCGGGTTCTTGAGGGCAAAAGGGAAATCACCCCTTCCCACCTCCACACCACCAGTCCACACCAGAAAGAGGCTGATTCCTCGAAGGGAGCGCTGGAAGTTTCTGGTCCCATGATTTAAAACCAAAGTCACTCCAAGTGGGTTAAAGGGAAACCCCTGTTGACTTTGACAAACCAGAGAAACAGTCGAAATTATGGCTCCACAACCCATTTGGGGGGTGCCTTGTCTCGAGGTGCGGGCAGTGCGACTGATGCGTACCCTGAGGCTGTTTCAAGGCGGGGTTTGCGTCAAGGGAGTTACCCCAGCAATTAACATGGAATTTGACAGGAGATCCCTTTAATAGGAAAATGCTCTTCCAGGACCCCCTGTCAGGTTCCACGATGATTGGTGGGTGGGTACTTCTTGCACTTTTTTTTTTTTTTTTTTAAGAAAAGACATGTTAGTGGTAAACAGCAGGTGTTGGACTTCTGTGGCCAATCTGGGTTACAGGTTAGCGGCATCTTCGGAAAGCGGCGGTGTTAAAGATTTGAAACTCTATGTGATTCCATTTGCGTGTGTAGCCAAACGGGAAAACTCTTCAGATTTTCTTGTAGAGAACAACCCTTCAGATTTGCCTGTGTAGCCAAGGGAACAACCCTTCAACACTATGACTCGGATCTGGGAAGGACATGAGGTTTCCCACCACCCCCCCCCCCCCGGACCCCCCGTGCAGGTTTGGTGTTAGCTTCCCCTAGCGCTGCCAGGGTCGCAGTTCATTTGCGCAGATGGGGTCGGACAAAAAGCGAACCCTGTGTCCCCCCTGGGAACTTCCCCAGAATTAGTTCCCCTTTTTTCTTTGTTTTCTTTTTTGGGGTCCCCTTTGTTTTCCACTAGCCAGGCAAACATCTATTTTCTGCTGGGGTCCCAATTCCGGCCTAGGGAAAAACTATGGTTCGAAGCCCTTTGTCTGGTTGATTTCATCGGGCGGGATCTCCCCGTCGAGGCAATCTAAGAACATTCCCCGTTGAGGGAACCACCCCCCAGACCAAAAACGCAAGGTCGAGGGCAAGTGTTTTAACAGGGATTTGGACCTCCCCCCCAAACTGGCGCCTTTCTTTTTGGCTCCTCTTAAAGCCAACCTGAAAAGGGTACCCGCAAAACAACAACACCCACGAATCCGTCATAAATCTGGGTTCGACGTTCCACATGGTGTTTCGGTGGCATGGGTCACTTGGATCTGCCAAAGGCGGACCCTATGACTAAGCCCTTGAAAGGTGCCCATTTTAATCACAGCTGACAGAGGGTCCCTTCAGTTTCTGGTCCCCAGACCTGGGCCTTGGTTACACCATGGCTCTTCCTTCACTCACTTGCCAGCGCATCGACCTGACATCACCTTTTGGACATTTCCGTTTTGGCTCCGTGTTTTCTTGCTGGTGCGAGAGGCGCAGGGAATGAGACTTGGAATGACCCCTTTAACCCCATCCAACGGTCCAACTGATGACCCCGAGAGAAACCATCCAACTCGTGGTTTCCTGTTTGGGGCAACGCGGGGTTCATTCCACTCTTGCACTCTTGCACCCGTCGCAAGTTTTTTCGCCTTGAGAGGTGATCTCACCTCCAGCTCCGGTCTGAATCATGGGGGCTGGGAGGGAGGGAGGGGAGGGGGAGGGAGCCCAAATAATTGTCAAATAAGCCCTCAAGGCCTTATTAAGGCCCTAATCAGGGCTGGGGGAGATTTGAGACCTTTCCCGGTGCCTCGGTGCCAGGCCTGCGGCTGCTGGTGCAGGCCTGCAGCTCCTTCCTGCCGTCCCTGGTTTGGTCCATGGCGCTCCTGTTCATTTGCATGCCCGGGCCCTCAGATTGTTTTTCCCTTTGTTTTTTTTTTTTTTTTGGGGGGGGGGGCGGGGGGGTAGAGTAGGTACGACAGATGTCTTTTTTTTGTTGGGCGGGCGGGGGGGAGGGGGTACGAGGCCCGTTGTAATTTTGTCGCGAGTACATTCCCAAAAGCCTTGGGAGTTTAGAGGGTGAGACCATGTGAACACCTTGCAACATGTAGGGCATCCACCATACCCCTGGTGCGTGGTGTGAAAGTCGAAAGGGCAACCCCGAGGCCGGTGACGAAGGCCAGTTGGGCGCACTGAACGGCGGACATGTGCCCCGCTTGTGCACATGAACGGCTGACGGTATTTTCAGATGGGCTTTCAGAGGGACACCAGAATAGGAAGGCTGCATTTCGCTTGTGCCTATGGTTCCTGCCTTTCGGGGGAGGTGACACCTATTGTGTCTATTTGGGAGCTACCTCGTTTTGGGCGGTCAAACAGCCCAACGAAAACAGTTGCAACTTTCGGGGGTGCCTGGTAGTTCAAGTGTCATGACCCGATGGCCCATGAAGCTAGGCCCCTACTTGGTGTTTGCCTGGACTGTTCTTCTTGGATGCCTGAGTGATGGGCCCCTTGCTCGTTGCCTTGCTGAGTTAAGACCCTCTGCACGCAACAGCAGAGAGAGGGAGAGAGCAGGAGAGATTGCCCCCCTTTGGCTGCCTTCCTCGCAGGAAATGTATATACTTAATCCATCCCAAGAAGGGTTTTTATCCCTGTCTGTGGATATCGATGGCCAATTTGGTAGGGACATTCATCAGAGGGCCTTTTTCGTTTTTTCCATGTTTTTGGGCAACCACAGATACTTGACCGTACTTCATTTGGGTAAGCAGAAAACGTCTGACTCCGGGTACCCCTGATCTGGGTGCTACATCGCCCCATGCATGTTTAGTTTACCCAGAGCACTAAAGGGGATGGGCATTGGTTTCATTTGATTAGTAGGACCCCATGACTCTTCACGCCATGCCTGGAGAGGCTCACGCCCCATGCCTGTCCATCTATCTGACGGCCCAGGTTGATGGGGGGCCTCGTTATGGGCAACTTGCATCCCGGCGAGTCATGTGGTTCATGTGGTTCTCCACGGTTTCCCCCGGCTCAAGACGTATCAAGATCCCTTGCTGTGCGAAATCTCTTGCGAAGGCCCACCTCTTTTTCTGGCGGCGGCATGTCTGCGCATCTCAGATGGCCCACAAATCCCCAAGAGCTTTAGACCAGAGAAAGCGACCGGACATGGCGACCTGCGGGCCGAGCCAGCCCCATTTGTTCCTGAAGTCGCAACAGTGACAAAGGGAAGCCTGGGATTTGGTGGTTTCCTCTCCAGTGTTTCTTCTGGAAGTCCAGGAAAACAAACACTTCTGGGGTTTGGCGGCATACATCTTTGGCCCTACCTGAAATGATGATAGACACCTTCCCGCAGGCTTAGTGCAAATCTGCAGGAATCCTTCCTTTTTTGGGGGGGAGGGGGAGGTTGGCCAAGGGAAAATGCTTTTCTCAGGCGAAGGGCGTCTTCAGGCAACCCTTCGGCGGTTTGGATTCGGTGCTGGCGATTTGCACCATGCTTGTACAGAATAAATGGGGGAAACCACCCCGGCTCCAAGCCACAAGACTTGAGGCACGCGTCACCGCACCACGAGGTTGATGGACTTTGTCACGGACGATGCCAACCCCATGGAGGATCGGGTCTGGATTTGGACCTACTACGGCACCGCCTACCGCTCCATGTACACCATGCCGCTTCGCTGGTCGGCGACGCCTTTGGTAAGGTGAGGGCATGTTGGTCCTCGGACGCCAGCGGGTCATACGTCGTTTGGTTTTGCTTCCCAAGCTGCGCGCAGTGAAGTTCAATGGCCTGGAGCCTTTTGGAATCTGTTGGAGTCTCTTTGCTCCAGCTCCTCAACCCCATTTGGCGCAAGCCACTTGGTTTCGGGACCTGATGTATTTGTTGGGGATCATTTGGGCGGAACACAGACCGCAATGTTTTGCGGTCGCGAATTCCATTGCAGGAGCCACCAGTTGCACCTTACAAAGCAGGGGAGGTTCCAGCCAACGAGGGGGCTTTTGCGAGAAGCTGTCAACCTGGGGCTGGGAGTCAACACGCCCCTTCAAGGCCGGCCGCCCAAAGTGCATGTTCCCGAGTCGAATGTCGGGATGACCATGTTGAGAGCCAGGCAAATACACCCTGCCTTAGATCCCAGAAAGTCAAGGAGACGGCTTTTGGCATTGCTACGTCTTGCTTTTGCTTTAGGTGTCGTGTGATCTGCTCCTGAATCAACCTTTTGTTTGCGAGTGTTCCATCATGTTTAGATGTGGCTCGCGTACGTCTTTTGGTAAGTGGGGATATCGTGCAGCCGTGCACGCAGAAGTGCCTTTGTACAAGTGGCACCCTGTTACTGCTGTGTCCAGTTGGCTTTTGACAACTGGCCCACAATAGAAGCGTTCCGTTTTGCCTCTTTGGTTTGGAATCGAGGTTGCTTCCCCACTTACCGGAAGCATTCCTCCAGAAATTGGTTTCGAACGGTTGATCGACCACCGTTCTTTTCTCTTGGTTGCTGGTTGCTTTATGCTGCATGGCCGCGGCTTCTCTTGTGCATGGCCGCGATGTCTCTACGGATCAGGGGCTAAAGGCAGCGGACCCCAATGAGGTCTACAAACCAGCTTGCTGAATCGCTTCCCCTTATAATTACTCATTCGTTGCAACAGAGCCAAGTTGCAACTTTGTAAACTAGAGGTTGCACAAACTTCAGGGAACAGCTCATTGCTTGGAGGTTGCGTCCCGGATCTTCCCCTAAGCGGTTTTAGCATTGCTTCAGAATAAGCCTACCCTAAAAGTCGTATTGGGGACCCGGCGGTCTGGGACAAATGATTTTTATTCGCAGGGTGGACGGTGTGCGGCCACTCTATGGTTATATGGTGGGACCGGGACACACGGCAAAACAGGGTTT